GCTCCTTTGTGATGCAGATAAATGTTCTCACCATGTTGGCAACAAATTAAGGATACAAGGGCACTACTTTAGTTGTACTTGTATGCTCTTTTTTTTTTTTCTAAGTTTTCCTGTTTGGTTGATGAGAAAATGCATGATACGTAGCCTCTCTTAAGGAAAGTTTTTCAATAATTCTTCGTTAATTCAATGAATTTCTTTTTACCTAAACCAAATTTAAGATTTACGATTGCAAAGGAAGCCGGGGCGTTCTAAATCGCGAAACAATTTCAGCTCACCTCCTGAATTCAATTTCAATTATCATGCCTAACTCACTGTTCCAATTTAACATTTTTTTTTCTTCTTTAGTTTGATTCTCACTTTACAGGTTTACTGTTAGTTTCCAATTATGTAATTGCTACTGTAGCAGTGTTCTTGTTTGGTGAGGAAAAGTGAGAGGGTGGAATGGATTATGGAAAGGACTGGATGAAAATGGAGAAAATTATTTTTGTATAACCTTGTTTGCTGCTTTCTAGATTTTTGAGGAGGTTCGTCTTGTTTGTTTGTCATTCTGTTTTCCAGCCTTGTAAATGATTCCACTCAATGTTGTTTTGCAGGATTGATGCTTTATGTGATCTAGGAATGTTCTATTCAGTCAGTAGGTTTATTTCACATGGCACTGACCATCTGTTTTGTGCAGTCGTGTGGCATGGTATGAATGAAGGATTACATCGTCTTTGCTCATTACTCCATATGGTCTAGGCAGTGTTGCTGTTCTTTCTTTTAAGTTGTAAATTAAAGAATTTGTTCTATTTTGTATTTTCAGTTTCTATGCATCAAGGCAAACATTTCTCTTTAAAAACTGATCCTTTAATTGATTTTACTTTTCTTTCCCTTTTCTCAGTGTTTTGGTGGAAAAGGATTGAGAAGTGCAATAGTCTTGGAGGGGGAAAGAAGATATAGGAACGTGTTGGGTAGAAAAATGAGGTACTTTATACTTATTCTTCTTTTCAGGTTGCTTAAGTGATGATTGAGATGTGAGAATATGTCTGTTTTTGGCTTCATTTTGTCTCAGGTTTAATAATTTTCTGCTCTCTGAAGTTTCAAAAATTTGTTCTCGATCAAAGCACACATTAACCAAAAAGCTGTTGGAGGAAGTACATATGTATGATACAGCCAGTGCCTCAGATCGCTCAAAGCTGCTCAAAAAGGTAGATGCCTATGCACAACTACTTGATACACACACACACCCACCCACCCACCCACCCACACATTTATATAATTAGGATCAACTTAAGCCTGTGTAAGTGTTACCAATTTGCAGCCAGTCATTTCAAAACTTAAGCAATTAATGCAACACTTGAATTTCCAACAAAACCCCATAAATGTTGAATTTCTTTTCATTTTCTTTCTTCATTATATGCTAGGCGGCTTTCATCTTATTGCATTCTGGAGAAACAGCAATTATAGGATCTTCTTACCATTTATTTTTGCTTTTACAAGGTGAATATTAGATAAACAGCCAGAAGAATTGTGGATGCTTTTCTTTTGATTTTTTGTTTCCTTGTAAATTGTTATGCTGCTGGTGTAATCTTATAGAAATGAATGGAGATGAGCATTTTGTATTGTAACTCGCTTTGGTTACAGGTTTCAGTTTTGATGGGTTATGATAGTCTTGATGATTTAATTGAGAATGGAATATCTGACAAGCAAACTGGCAGCAACCTTAAAGATACTAGAGATGATTTTGATCTCTCCTTGGCCCGTAAAAGATTTCCATCCATCATTGTTGGTAGTTCACCCCCAGTGGAATTGTATGATGAAACTATATCTGGCTCCGAAATAAGAAGTTCTTTAGCATCTCAAAGATTTCCTGCAAATTTCATGGATGGAAAGTGGGTGGTCAATCAAAATGATATGTGTGAAGCATGGTCTTCTCTGTATCCTTCTGTTCCACATGCAAGCCCTCCTGTAGAAGTAGAAGAAAATGCTGACTATTCAAACAAGTCTTCTTATTTGTCTGAGTCTTCTTGGTCTTTGGCTCTGGAATCTGAAGGAAAATCAGATATAGCCACTGTGGAGGATTCTTCTACCAAGGGTATTGAATCAGAGCTTACTGCATCCACTGAGCTATTTCTGGACAGATCCATCAGCTGCATACCTGGTTTAAGTAAGAGGCACTCTCGCCAGCTGGAGAACTCTGGCTTTCACACGGTAGGTTTTAATGTAAAAGGCAGTAAGGTTCTTTTCTTTCAGTAGAAGGCCTGATTCACCTTGTTTCCCCTTTTTTATCCTTGCAGTTGCGGAAATTGTTGCATCATTTTCCTAGGACCTATGCAGATTTACAGAATGCACAAATTGAAATCAATGATGGACAGTACTTTATATTTGTTGGAAAAATTTTATCTTCCAGGTGATTAACTTTTGCCACCAAATATGGTAATTATTTTCTAGACTGGAGAGCAAGTTGTTAAGACTCAGATGTCTTTATCTTTATGTTATTACAGTTTCTGTAGGCTCTTCTTGTGCTTAAGTAGGCACTTGGGTGGAATGAGGCACATCCAAGGTGCCCTCATATGTCCCAAGGGAACTGGTCAATTGGGTTAGGTTGCTCATCTTTGACTCATTAACAAAAAGACCAGAATAAATTCAAGTATGCAAAACATTGTCTTATAAAATGTATTTTCATGCTGATAAAGAAGGGAAATCAAATTTGTTTGAAGCATTGAGCCCATTTGTTTGCTCATGATGGGATATGTTGGCATAATAAATAATGAATTCTTGTAGCACTCTGTAGTCAATGTTTTTCAGAAAGGGAGATTCTTTAGGAAAGGGAAAAACTAGTAGAATTATTCTCTTCATCATTAAGCAGCTTAGCTGCCCTTGTATGAAGCCACTTTGCTCTTAGCCCTAGGAAGTAGTTAGGCTAGATTAGCCGGTCAGTAGGAACTTAAAAATCTCAAAGATTGACCTTTGAAAATCAGAGGAAAAAAATTGTATATAGCCATATCACTTTAATTGTTATTCCCTGAAGGTTTTATGAAAATAAATAGCTTTAATGAAATTAACACATGTTTTTTATTGACTTTGAAGAAATTTTATTATCAATTATGGTCCATGAAAAGTGCAGCAAGTTTGCTTTTGCCTTAAAATTTTTATCAAATTTGTTGTCTGTAAGTTATGTGCATATGTACTCTAATTTAATACTTACAGTTAAAGTTATTGAGAGCAGCAACTCAGACATATAGTACCACAATAAATAGTAATGTTAGGACTCGGGAATGAAACAAGTGCTGCCCTTGATTTCTGTTTTTCTTTAGCTCACCAGTGATTGTATATGACAGTTATAGTAACTCTTAAGCTGCTCAATCATGGATACTGTAGTTGGGTTCAAGACTGATAATACACATCATTTTCCTGCAGGGGAATTAGAGCCAGTTATTCCTTTTCATTTCTTGAGGTGGTTGTGGGTTGTGAAGTTGCAGACAATCAAGCAATTTCTGACTCTGAGTATATATTTAATGACAGTCACAGCCATGGAACAAAGACAATTTATTTGCATTTGAAGAAATTTTTCCGTGGTACTCGTTTTGCTTGTAAACCATTTCTTACAAGTCTACAGGAGAAGCATAAATTGGGAGAATTTGTATGTGTTAGTGGTAAGGTGAGGCTTCTCTCATGTCCTCCCTTGTATTCAAAATGTTTTATTATTCTAAATTTCCATTTTGTTTTTAAAAGAGTAATACCATGAAAAAAAGGCTATGAACCATGTGTTAAATACTGAATTTGTTTCTTTGAAGTTGCTGATTTGTGCAACATGATCTGGCTGTTGGCAAAAACAGTTATCTAATGTTAAATTTTCTTTGATGGTAAATGATTATTGTCAAATTATTTTTCTTTTTCAACTTATCTTTTGTTGTAGACTTGCTTTTCAGGTTGGGTGGTGAGGATGCAAATGGATTTCTATAATCTTAAATGAACTTAGTTTTTGTTGTTGCCTCATTAGCTGATAAGCGTTAGATTTTAAAGCTGTGAACTCTTTAACTGTAGGAGGTTAAACTAAAGTGGTTACTTATAACAATGTATTTGCATGTATTCATCCTTCTGTTTTGGAGGAGAATGAGGATGCAGTGTCTTCTTTGTTTGTTTATTTTAGCGAATCATATTTTCTCTGCCAAAAAGGAAAAATAAATCTCCACTGGTTTATGGGTCATCATAATATATGAGCTTTGGAATGAAGTATTAAGTATTAGGTTGTGCAGGTATAGAGATATAATAGTTAAATCGTTATCACTTTTTAAGTGGGCCATAAGATTGATTAGATAATGCAAGGATGCTTGGTTTGTTAGTGCTCAAGTGCTTTAAGATTGTTGTGGACCTAATGTTTGTTTAACAAATCTGGATTTAATAAGCTAATTGTTTATGGTTTCAATTTCAGTTCTTATTGTTTGAAGATATTCTGAATTGAATGGTTGGCTTTCCTATCGAGATAAATGCTGATTAGTGTGGGTTCTTCATTTATATGAATAGAAATAAAGCTTCTTGTGATTTCATTCCTCTAATATCATTATACATGATCGCCAAGTTTTCATTTCTTTTGAGCATTTTTCATTCAAAATCTGTACTTAACTTTTTATTTCCAATCTAGGTGAGGACTATGACTACTAAAGATCACTATGAAATGCGGGAATATAACATTGATGTGCTAAAAGATGAAAATGATTCATCTGCTCTTATACGAGGAAGGCCATATCCTATATACCCTTCAAAAGGAGGCGTAAATCCAAATTTTCTTAGAGACATTATTATAAGGTACTCCTTTCTTTATTTAGTTTGAAATTGAAGATCATTGTTCTGCAGCTACCTTTGCAGACAGATCTGAAATTACTAATTCTTTGCTCATTAAGAAGTATGTTAGACAAGAAAGCAGGGCATGTCATTGTCTCCAGTCTTTTCACTCCAAAATTCTTTTTGGCTTATGCTCAACTGCCATAAGATTCTCAGTTTCTATCATCACTCATCAGTTTAGTGCAAATTAACTTCTTGATACTTAAATATGTATTATGAAGGTATGTTAGTTTAAAGAATTCTTCCTTTTGCACTGAAAGCTTGCTATTCTTAATACGGTAAATGTTTGCCTGTTTTGATTATGAATGATTATGTAACTATTTCAGATTGTTTCATGCGCATTGACGTTTTGCTCAGTCTCATTGACTAATAATAATAATAAGAGTTTCATGTTTTTCAGGTCAGATTACTCAATAGAAGTGCAATCTGGGCACTGAAATTACTAAAATACCATTAATGAATGGACATAGCGAAGAGCTTCATTAAGGGTATTTTAGTAATTTCAGAGTCTGGACTGCACTTAATGTGCAGTCCAACCTGAAAAACACTTTTGTAATAATAATAATAATAATAATAATAACAGTGGCAGTACATATAAAGAACAGGCTGTGGAATGCCAATAACATTATAGCAACCTGATCATCTTCCTTTCTGTGGTAATCATGATTTTCTGAGCTTTCCCATGGAATTGTTTGCCATGGTAAATACTTTTGTTTCCTCATGCCTTAGGATGTGTTCAACCTTTTTCATTTCTGTTAATTTCCTTAAAATTTAAGAGATAGATCATGTTTTTTGCTGTAATATCAATCTATAAAATAGATATTCCTTCATTTTTGACAGAGCTTTTCAAGACTTGCCTGTTAACATTGACCCAATTCCAAAAGAAATCACCCAGGAATTTGGACTTCTCTCTCTCCATGATGTAAGTCACTTTTTTGCCTTATCTTATTAAGTCCCTTTATCAATTGACATCTTTTTAAAACCCATGAATTTTGTTGGTTTCCTTTAATATTGGAGTCACCTAAGTGTAAAGCAATTTACTTATACTAGCCAAGGAACATATACTGTGAGAAATGGCTAGTTATCAAATCTTTCTTGTTTGCATCGATTTCTACCTTCTTCACACTTCTAGATTTTATGCTGGAAAAATAAAAAAAGAAATAAAAGAAAAAACACTTCTATTTTTTATCAAACAAACCTCTGAAATTGGCGTTGCAAATGGCAAATCATCTTTTGTCCTTTGCTTATTTTTTTCATGATTGATGCCACTTTTACTTTTTCACAAGTGACTTAATCATTTCTCAGTTTCTCATGTTATCAATTTATCATGGGTGTCACCTCAGCATTCTTATTTTGGCTGATCTTATTTATTTCTTTTTGAATATGCTATTGATCTTCCACTATGCTTGAATATTTTGGTTTATCATTCTTGGGGTTTGCTATCTAATGATATTCTTAAAACCTTTACTTCTTTCATTCACTTGACTTGAAAGTTTGCTATCCAATGATATTCTTAAAATCTTTACTTTTTTCATTCACTTGACTTGAAACTATTGTTCTGAGTTTGTAATCAGAGTTTTCTCAGATTTTTCACTGCCAACTTGTCATGTTTTACACCGATAAAATAGCCGAGGACTTTTATTCAGCTAAGGTTTTCTTTCGGTGGTTCCCCTTCCCCCCCCCCCCACCCCTCCCCCCCACAGTTTTTATTATCATTGGAATCACAACAAGAATGGGAATTGATCTCAAATTTGTATTGGTAATGGTGCTTTTGATTTTATTTAATGCATTACTGGTGCCCATTGAGCATCTGCATAATCCTCATCTGTAGCAAGCAAATTAAAGCATTTTGAGGTTGATTTCAAATATATAGGAGAGGAAGGATATTACTACATCACAGAAAAATATGGGCTTCTAAGGATATCTTGGTTACATTTTGGTACCATGAATGGTACCTTTACAGTGGGGCATACTTCTTTTATGGCATAATTCTGGTGGTCAGTTGATGTTTGCTTGGTTTGGTTTCATTAGAAATGCTCTTTACGATTTTATGGGAATGATTATAGCTTCTCAATGAGGCCTTAGAAGGATAACTTAGGCTTCAAATTCAAAACATGATTACCAAGGAGTCTCACCTAGTTGGTTGCTTCACACAATCTCAAAGATCATACTGTCAGGAAATTGTTGAGTAATCAATCTATCTAAATTCAATTATACCTTTTGATGTTCCATAGTTGGCAGTGTTAATATCTTTCTCCTCACTTTCTTCCTCTTTTTAGTTGAAAACTAAATATCTTGGTCTAATAATGTAGGCGTATTTGGGCATACATCAACCTAAGAATAAAGAGGAAGCTGATTTAGCTCGGAAACGGCTCATTTTTGATGAATTCTTTTACCTGCAGGTGATCTTGATTTTCTTTTCTTTTATAGAAAAGTTAAACTTGTGGTTACCATATTGTATTAATTTTCTTGAACGTTGTGGTTCTGAATCTGTTTCTTATTTACATGATCTCTTTTCCTTTATTTCATCATAGTTCTTTGTGTAGCAAGATTAGGACCCTCAAATGGATGCATGTGTTAACCTCTAGTTTTATAAACAGTGTTTCCATTTTCAGATCTCTTTAGATTTCAGCATTTGGGCATTTTCTCTAAAGTTCTGTTTTGGTTGCAGTTCTGGTTGATTATGCATTATGTTTCAACTAATAGAACCATCTAATCATATGGTATTATGGATAAATTTTTTATTCAAACCTCTCAGTTGTTGATTTTCTGTCCATCCCTTTGCTGTGCCATCTTTTTTATGCACTTTGGAAATATTATTATCATCATTAAAAAGTGATTTTTTAATTTTTAAAGTGAAATTGCACTTTGGTAGTCAGTTTCTTGCTCAACAGTTATTGCCCACTAACATTTTGGGTAATACACACATGAAAAGATCCTTGTCATGGAATCATTTAAGAATGTTGCAATTGCTTAGGCTGATGGTGCAGTGTGCTCTCATATTAAGCATCAGCTGCCTAAAAGCTGGTATAATTCAAATTCTCTCTATGCAGTTAGGGCGTCTATACCAAATGCTTGAAGGTCTTGGAACACAATTAGAGAAAGATGGATTGCTGGAAAAGTACAGAAAACCTATTGTTAATGCTGCCTACATGGACGAATGGTCCAGCCTGACTAGGGAATTTCTAAAAACTCTTCCTTATTCCCTTACTTCTAGCCAACTAAGTGCTGTTTCAGAAATTATATGGGATCTAAAGCGACCAGTACCTATGAATCGGCTTTTGCAGGTTCTAGATTTTATGTGAATATTGCTCTTTCATTGTTACTGAAATCTTGCAGCCAAAAGAGATAAAAAAAAAAAAAGAAGAGTATTATTACTGCACTATAATCTGTTTCTAATTGCTTTTTCAGGATCAATTTTTCTTTTTCAGACACATTAATGGTGTTGAAGTTAGTTTTTCTAGAAGTTCCATAGTATTTTGCTGTGCAAGTAAATATATGCTAAGGAGCGATAATAATTAGTGGATGATATAAGAATTAATGGCTGATATAAGAACGTAGGGCTATAAATCAGTTGACTTGGGCAGAACACCCACTAGCTCAAGCTGGGCTAGTTTACTAAACAAGCCTAGAAGTCAAGGTCAAGCTCACTTTGCAAGTAACTTATTTAGTTTATCAAGCTCCAGCTTCTTTAATGAGTACATGTTAGGCTCATTTAGAGGCCCTTTAGTTAAACAAGCTCAGGTTTGGCTCATTTATGAGCTTAAGCTTTTATTTAGTCTTATTATTATTATTATTTGTTTACTTCAGGACAATGGAACTATGATTAGTTATAGGCTAACCAATTAGTAAGTTAAAAGCTTAAAATGAATTAGTCTAATTGAAATCTATTGGGTTAAACCTAATTAAAAGTTTATTAGATATACTTCAATAAAATTATAAAAAAGCTTTTATTGAGCTTTTGTCAAGATCTAATCAATCCTTGTTCGTGAATTGATCACGAGCTTTGTTCATGAAAATAAGCCATTGAGTTCATGCTTGTCTCATTAACTACATAAGCCTAAGATCTAGGCTCAAGCTTGTTTATAAACTTGATGAACCAACTGAGCTCTGAATAGCTTGCAAGTAGTTCTGTTCTCACAACACTACTTTAAAGAGTGCTACAAAGAATTTGAAGTTATAACTCAAGAATGTCCTTAGCACACCAAAACCTTTTTATTTCAGTGGGTGTCCGTTCTAGTACCTTAGTAGTCTGCCACAATTGTTATCCCATTCTCATGAATACCGGAGACACTTATGATCATGAATTCCATTTGTTCTGCTAGTTATTCAATTGTCAGTGATCTTTGTTCTGTATGCAATTGTTAAATCTCAAATAGCATGGCTAATGTGTGGGTGCCTGTTTCAGGGTGATGTTGGATGTGGAAAAACTGTGGTAGCTTTTCTGGCATGTATGGAGGTTATTGGTTCTGGCTATCAGGTTGTCAATCTAAGAAACTTATCTAATTTTATATACCTTTTTAAATTGAGTCATACAAGCTTTGATATTCTAATCGGTATTGGCTTCCATGAATAATTATGGCTTTATGATATGATTTTTTTTTTTTTTTTTTTTTTTCGTTTCTGTTCCCTTTTTCTTGATGTACTTTTCTTGCTCCGTTTTAAAGCTTCCTATGTATTACATTTGATATTATGAGATCATTTCTGTTTCATTTACCTTGTGTTAATTGCAGGCAGCCTATATGGTTCCAACAGAGTTGCTTGCAATCCAGCATTATGAACACTTACTTAATCTGCTAGAAAATATGAAGGAGGTTGAGTGTAAACCATCTGTAGCTTTACTAACAGGATCAACCCCATTGAAACAATCACGGATGATTCGACAGGCATGCATCATCCTTTGGTATATTTATGTGGTACATAATCATCTTGACTTTCTTGTAACTAACTTTATTAGTCCACAGGATCTGCAAACTGGAAACATCTCAATGGTCATTGGAACCCACAGTTTAATATCTGAAAATGTGGAGTTCTGTTCATTACGCATTGCTGTGGTAGATGAACAGCACCGATTTGGTGTAATCCAGAGGGGGAGGTTTAACAATAAGGTGGTTTGCTTTTATTGGGCTAGTAGATGACAATTTTAATGAGAATGCATAATGATTTTTCAAAGTTTTCTGCAAAATGATAGGTCCACCCTTATGCATGTTATAACAAACTGCATTATATCTGGTGCTTCACTGGAATTTGCATTATTTCTTTTTACATAATACTTAAGAACTTTGGAGGCCTCTGCTGCGGGGTTTTGATTTGCTGTCTGCATCTTTTTGTTCCAAGCATTTCTACTTGGTTGTTCATTGTAAAAGTGAATATACTTCAACATGGGATATATTCCCTTGCACTGGCAGCTATAGAGGCATGTAGTGGGGATAACATAAAATGGAATTTTGGCAAGGATAAATGCATTGAGAACTATACAAATAAATTAGGATAATAATTATGATCATTGTATGGAATTTAAAGGGGATATAAAAAAATTGTTACCATTAGCACTAAAGCTGCCACTGTAGGTATTGTTCTTTGGTTTTGAATATCCTCCTCTCAATGAGGATGTATTGAATTACATTAACTTTTCACCAGGTCATTTTAAGGAAGCACTTAATCTACTTGTAAATATTTTTTTACTCACTTTCCCTTCTTTTGGAATTGGGGTATCCTTTTTAAAATGCTGCAGGTTTCACAGCATGACTTAAGTTATGGATTGTAGAGAAGGTAGCCCTTTTCTGGTTGATATTAATGCCTATGGTTCATTCAAAATTCTAGCCAGCCTTTTTAATCTTTGAATTATAACCTTTGTTCAAGATTCTATTTTTCGGTTTAATTGTCTTGTATTGTTTTTCTGAAATTAAATTCAATCATTATGCTTTTTCAGATGAATTCAATTGATGCAATGCAATGGTCCTTCTGTCTCTTTATATTATATGCCATCTTTGTAATAAACATGAGTTAATGGTAACACTTTTGCAGCTATTCTCTACTTCTATAAGTTCGAGAAGTGAAGTATCTAATTCAGATGGATCTTCAAGAAATGATGTGCAGATGGCTCCTCATGTTCTGGCAATGTCGGCTACTCCTATCCCTAGGACACTTGCTCTGGCTTTATATGGGGATGTGTCCCTTACACAAGTATGTATGCTGCTGTTAGCATCCTCTTGACTTTTTCTTGGATGAATCTTGGTAGTAGGAGATTTCCAGAATGTAATATAAAGAAAGGGCACAGAATTAGTAGGTGAGAAGCATCAAGAGATATTGGAAAGGAAAAAGAAACTGAAGTTTGTGTTTATAGCATCTAATATGGTAAAATTAAATCCAGAAAATTAGAAAATTTGGATTAAGCTGGTTAGTCTTTCAGCTCTCTATATTGAAACATTTAACAGATCTTATATCCAGCAATGAGCTACATTTTTTAGGTCAAATTGTGTGGCTACTAACACTTGTTTTCTGCTTCCTTAAATGACAGATAACTGACCTGCCTCCTGGTAGAATACCGGTTGAAACACGAGTTGTTGAAGGAAGTGGCAATGGCTTTAAGAATGTCTACAAGGTAACAGAGTTATTGTTCTAACCTTAACTAGTCCTTCATAATATCTATATCTTATTTAGAATGAGAAATGAGGAAAAACATTGGGTGCTTGAAATGTATTATAGCATAATAAGGCTTGCTAGATGCACGTGGGTTATTGTTTTAACCTTAACTGGTACTTCATAATATCTGTATCTTATTTGGAATGTGAAGTGATGAAATGACATTGAAATTTATTCTGGCATAAAAATTCTTGTTTTGACCTTAACCAATACTTCATAATATCTATATCTTCTGCAGTTATGAGCATATTTGGATTTTGCTTTTGGGGGTGAGAAAGTTATCAACAAAACTATTGCTTTGGTAATTGACCCCAAAAAAACTCATTTCAGAAGCATGTAATATTTTTGGTATTTGTTTGAGATAAAAGCACACTACTTTTGTCCGGGAAGTTTAAACCACATTTCCAACAAGAGAAGATCTTTGAAGAGAGAAATTAGTAAAATGGGTTAACAGACACTTCTAGAGTTTATTATTATAATGTTACATTCCCAAGACTTCTGGCATGAATATAGTTACTAGAAAGTGAAACCCTAAACTAAACCAATGTGGGAAGGCACTACTTCTGATGTGGTTCCATCAGAAAAACTGAGACTGAGGCCTACCAAAGGAATTACAAATATGATACCATCTCAAGATATCCAACCTAAAACTAATTGGTTATAGGTGGAGAGTCGGTCTGAATATAAGGTTGTGCAAACAATAAACTAAACTAGTCCAGGATAATGCTACTTATCATACATGAAATAAGTTCATTTCTGAGCTCATTCTTTTAAGTTATCTAGTTATTTTAGTTTTCGCTCATATGAAACTGGTGAAAATAAAAATACAATGGCAGATAGGAAGGGCCAACAGATTCTTTAAACAAAATCCAAATTGTTAACATCTATGATTTGCTAGTGCATGAACATGTGCTCCTTTGTGATGCAGATAAATGTTCTCACCATGTTGGCAACAAATTAAGGATACAAGGGCACTACTTTAGTTGTACTTGTATGCTCTTTTTTTCTTTTTTTTTTTTCACTTAAATGTATGCTAAAGATATTTTGTTGATGATTTGAAAGTTTGGATTTGATTGGTTGATATTCCTTTGCTTTAAATATTTATATTTTTTATGTAACAGATGATGCTTGAAGAATTAGAGACTGGTGGTAAAGTGTATCTTGTTTATCCAGTCATTGAGCAATCTGAACAACTGCCTGAGCTTCGAGCTGCTTCACCAGATTTTGAGGCCATATCAAATAGGTTTGAGGGTTACAAATGTGGATTGTTGCATGGAAGAATGAAGAGTGATGAAAAGGAAGAAGCCTTGAAACTGTTCAGATCCGGAGAAACACGTATATTGCTTGCCACTCAAGTAATTGAGATTGGTGTTGATGTTCCAGATGCATCTATGATGGTTGTTATGAATGCCGAGAGATTTGGAATAGCTCAGTTACACCAACTTAGGGGAAGAGTTGGACGGGGAGTAAGGAAGTCCAAATGTATATTCATAGCATCTACTTCTAGTAGCCTCCATCGACTAAAGTTTCTTGAGAAGTCATCAGATGGTTTTCACTTAGCTAATGTGGATCTTCTTTTACGTGGACCTGGTGACTTGCTTGGTAAAAAACAGTCTGGACACCTTCCTGAATTTCCTGTTGCCAGACTGGAAGTAGATGGGAATATGTTGCAACAAGCACATATTGCTGCACTGGTAATTTCTCTTATCTGGCTCTTTTTATTTAGATGCATTATTTCCACTATTACTTCATCTCATGACAAGGAATTGGGTGCATTGCATATATATGAATTGGATTATTTTCTTTGGTGTTTTTGTTGGAAAATTTTATTTGGGTCAGTGTTTTTAAGGGTTAACTAATTATCTAGTAAATTGTTCAAAAAAATAATTATTTAGTAAAATTTGTGCATTTTTCTAGTAATAGTTACCTTGCAGTTTATTAAGTGATAAAATACAGATGGTTGGTAATCTGAGTAGTCATAGAAATTAACTTGTCATTCAGGAGTTAGGACGTGTTTTATTGCTGATGCTCATCTATGACACATGCAATGCTTTGTTTATTTGCAGAAGATTTTGAGTAATTCTCATGATTTGGAGCGTTTTCCAGCATTGAAAGCAGAGCTTAGCATGCGACAGCCACTTTGTCTATTGGGTGACTAAGCTCAAGTTTGGTTTCTTTATGGTGCTTCCAACTTGTTCATACAGCAATGCTATCCCTTGGATCGACAGTTCTTCTTGGTGGTATATTCATCTACTTTTATTAAAGCTACAATTAATTAATTAAAGCTATACACAGTTGAGATTAGAAAATTATGATATAATTTTATCATTAGGCACGTTGATTGTTTGGAGGATGTCATAATGACACACAAGGGCACGCATGCATATACATGTATGCTTACGCATGCCTATGTATATGCTAATGCATGCATGCATGCATGTTTTGAAAGTACATAACATTTTGAAAGGTTTAATGAAATATGTTGATCACATCATTTGGCCTTGATATCGTTTAGTATTTGGTAATGTTAGAGTGTTTCAACGATTAGTTGCTTGAGGAAATGACCTTATAATTCCCAAGTCATAACTATGGTTGCGTACGGATGATTGGGTATGTCAAGGACTAAATTGTTAAACCCATTTTTTAATCCATGTTTTAAGATCTGTTTACATCTAATCCAATCTATTGTAGAGTTTTATTTGTACACTACATTTTCTTTTTCAACACTCTTAGACTTTATTTAATAACAATAAAGTGAAGTGCAATCCGCCTTGTGAGGACTGCACTGCACTTAACCATTGAAAAGTAGTTTAGATTTCATTACAGCATTCTCATTTAATAAACTATCCATGTAAATTTTGGATACTAATTGTCAAGTGCATTAGATGTTTAGTCCCTAATCGTTCTATTTTGTGAAAACATCTTTTGTTTCAAATGTTGGAAGTTTTGTTTAATCGTAGTTTTCTGAAAAGTAGTTTTCACTCTGGAGGTAATTTTCAGCTTTTAAATGATAAGACACTAAAATTATAAGCCTATCACTTTTGAGGTAGAGTTCTCCTACTTAATATTATAAAACTATTTGTTTTTAAAACTTTTTATAATTATTTAAAAAAATATTATGTAATTTAAATTATATTAAACTGTACAATATTAACTATTAAATTAGAGGTAGAACCAACGAAGGGTTGGATCAAGTGGTAAGCGGCTTGTTCCAGCTTAAGTAAGGTCTCGAGTTCGAGTCCTTGCGTACGCAGCAGCCTTCATTGGGAGACTCACTCACAATTTCCAGGTGCGCGACCCGGGTCGGGTCTAGATTCGCCCCGGATACTGGCGGTAAACCGGAAACCAAAAAAAAAAAAAAATTAGAGGTAGATTTCTTGATATTGGGTATTTTGCAATTTAAAGTCTTATTTTGCTGCTTAAATTGTAAAATATTATACTTGTTATTTTATAGGAATTCATGATTCAATTATTATAGAAAAGCTCTATTTAAACAATATTTTCACAAAAATTAAGGTTGGTCAAATTTGTCCTAATTGATTTTGCCATCAATTGAGTTGAAATTTTCCAATTTCCACACATGATGTGTACGAATTGAATGTATTAATTAAATTTAATGATGGAATTTTTTGCTGTATGGTGTGGACATTTAAATTTACATCAAAATGTCAACTGATCCCGTCTAATACTTGTAATTCTCTCGTCAGCCGATTTTTTTTTTTTTTTTCCATTATTTGGAAGTCTTGAAATAAGGTACATTGAGGTTACGAAATACAATGTTGTTGAGGGAATGGGTTTAACTTGTCAAAACAAGGTTCATTGTCAAAGAGACTAGTTTTCCACCTTGTACCCCTCAACAAGGACAAATTTCTTCCTTTTAGATATGTTTTTCCTTATTCTATCAGATAAAGTTCATGACTAACTTTTTTATTTTATTTTTAAAAAAATTTTGAATTGAATGATAAAAAAAAAAGAAAAAAACTCTTTTTATCTTTTTACCCACATCATCTAAATATTGTATAATTTAAATTTAGTACTATAGTATATTTTAATCAAACCTCTATTTTCTTTTTATCCACCTTATTTGATTGTCTTAATAAAATTATTATTAAATCACACTACTTTCATTAAATGGAGATCGCTACTAAGCTAATATTGTTGGCAACTCTTTTAATTTTTAGAAATTAACCCACAAGTGGGAGAGGTTTTTGGATTGTACAAAATTTACCTTCAGATTAGGGAAGACCCTTTACATGTAGATGTCTTTTGTCTTCAAAAATTTATGAATTTGTTTAGTTTTTATAAAAAGATAAGGTAAACATGAAGTATGGCAAATTAAAGTGGCTATTTTATTGAACCAATAATACCAACAACCGGAGCTTTGTCTCACATAATTTGGAATTGTTAGAAACATCAAACCCTAGAAATCAAACAATGCCATCATCTCCTACATTTGTACATCAAGCACAACAAATGTTATCCAGTCAGGCCATGGGAACTGATCACCATTGCAGACCCACTTGGGAAAATGTGAGGGCCCCACATGCCATCCACTTAGATTGCAGGAGTTGATGAGGCCACCAATGAGTGACTCACAAGGGATAGGACAAGCAGACAGGTGGGGCCCCCACCTGGTTCCCTACCCAATCATCAAGGTGGGGTCGAAAAGTTTCCATGTTCCATGTCTTGTCGCTAACCTAATCATCCATATATGTTGGCTTTGCCCACGCTTCTCCCATGTATCTACTCAAAGCCTCAAACTCAAACCCATCTGCAGGAGCTCCCCCTCCACTGAAAGTTGCTTTATCCACCGTGTGTACTGACTTGCTTGACATTTTGCTGCAGATTTCAAAAAGCTTTGTTTGTGTTGCTCAGTTTTGGGTTAGAATTACAAAGCCTATTATTAGGGGATGCATGCTTTTGTTAATTCAACCTTAATTTTATTTTATATTTGTTGTGGGAAATTCCACTTCATCTTTTAAGGCTAATAATCATCAAACAATTTAGTTACTATTTCACAGGATATAGGCAATAAGTTTTAAAATTATATATATATATAAATATATATATGAATCATGAAAATGGTTATACGCCCATTTGAAATCAAATGTTTTATCCATCATGAATTCTATGGTGTTCATTGATTTCTTTTGGGTTTTATGTTTCAAAGTTTAATAATTGGTAGTTTGATTAATAAATGGCATGATGTTAGTTTGTGTTAAATAGAACAAGAATCCATAATCAACCATGAGATTTGATAGTAAAATGACCTATGCATGTTTTTAGCTACAAGTTTAAAATTCAATTTTTAATTTTTACATACCTAAGCAAAAAAAAAAAAAAAACCAAGAATCCATTGTAAAAATCTTGAAGGCAAAAAAAGAGAAGTTGATATATAGGTTCAATCACAGCAATATATAGAATGAAATTAGACATTTTCTTTTCTTGATATCTTAGGGTTGTAGTTGTCTAAACTAATATTGAAAAATATTTAACTCCTTTTATTATGTGCCAAAGAAAAAAGAAAAACTCCTTTTATTGGGAGATAGGCAAATCAGAGTAAATAAAGGTTACATTAATCAACAAAATTAATTAATTAATTATTTATTTATTTATTTATTAGGATGAACTCTAGGGTGTCCATTTTATATCTTTTAGGTTTTATTGTTGAAGGTATATTAAAATTGGTTGTTATTATTAAATAGCATGATGTTGAATTATACTAAATAGATTAGAACTCCGGTGTAAAAATCTTGAATCCCTCTATAAGATACTGCTTTTAATGCTAGATCCCACCCCTAATCAAATGTAATGAAAGAGGAAATGTACACACACTACAAACAAAAAGTTTTGATGGACTAATTAATTAACTTTTATTAAATGTTGTGTTAATTGATAGCTAGCGGAGTAGAGGAGACAGCTCCAAACATCATGAAACAATGGATTGACTTTAACTTTTAGAATGTGTCGGCATTGTACTCATCAACAACTTAGACCCCACCATCCTATGCCTAGTGAGAATCATGTATAGCATTTCTTTTCATTTTCATCTCTAAGACATGCTTTATACCAATATTCTTTAAAAGCGTATAAGAACAAGACATTCGACAAAAAAATCTTCTGGGGTTGTCCATCCTAATGCATTCAAATTGTCTTTGGTATATGTTATTTTGCTACAGTTGCTTCAAAATGCAAACCAATAATTGATCCAAAAGGGAAAAAAGCATGCAGCTTTAATTACAATATAGCTTTTGATTAATAGGGAAATTCAGGGGATTGAAAGGAACAGCCACTTAATCCCTTTTTCTATCAATTGAACTCATCAAAGATAACAGTGAGAAATGTTTGACGGTGCATATTTTCTTGTCAAGACATACTATTCTATGCTGCGACTACTTTTATACAAATTCTTTATCTAGATGCAAAGTATATTATTCAAAGGTAACCTTTAGTTTTTAGAGTAGTAAATTAAAGTTTGCATTGATCACATAAATATGAAAATAGATTGTTATTGGAGATCAAATCACATGCTTGATTAGTAAAGGGGTTTTTGATAAAAGAATTTTGTTTATTAATCCATTACACAATATATATAGATGACCTACCTTTGGTCAATTAGTCAATTTTTTTTTTAAGACAACAGAACTTCATTAATGTTCTAAAACAAACAAGCTGATCCAAGATGTACACACCAAAAAGAACACATCCCCACCCAACCTATCCCAATTATCTTGGACCTTAGCCAATATGAAGTAATTTTTTCATGAAATTTGGTTGACCATTGATTTGTTTCAAAAAAAAAAAAAAAAAGGAAAATGTGGGAACTAAGGAAAAATAAAGAAAAAATTAAGAGGGTTATATTCTTTTTAGGTGAAGCACCCCTAACATTTACCGAGAATTGTTTAACGTTTGCTTTTAAGACAAAGCAATTTAAGGATATGTTTTGGTCTTATATACTAATACTATTTGTTCTTGTTCCTTAGAGGATATTTTAATAGTTAAAAATTTGAGTTTCCATATTAAAGATCTCAACTTTAAATAATAAAATAGGTGGGGAAGGGTTTGGAAAAGGAAGTTATTCCTTATTATAGAACTTGTCATTTGAGGTACATAAAAAATTGATTGGTCTTAATTGTTAGGCAACAAGAAGTTGGGCTCTGAGTTTGGGGATTCTACGTTATGATTGAGTCAAGACAAGGGATGGCAATGAGCCTTGCAAGATGGGGGAGTTCCTTCCCATCCTCATTCCTGCAAATCATGGGGACATGGATCCCAATGGAAGATTTTAACGAGAGTAGAATTTGCTTGGCGTCCCTTATTGTTACCCATATGAAATGAGTCAACCTTGAGATTCCTCGCCCCGCATCAATTTATATTATAAAGTTAATTTAACTATTTCTATTTCATTATTTTAAAAAAATGATTTAACGAGTTGGGTAGAAAAAAAAAATCTTGTTTTGGGTATGGTTTAAAGTAATTGGACTTTAGTATTGAGTTAAGAATGAGTCATGTGTAGTCCACAACTATAAGTTAAATACTTACATTGAGTTAGATTTAGTAATTTTTTTTCTATTTTTTAATATTTCATGGGAAACAAGGATCCCACAAGATAGAAAAAATTCCTCACAAAATTTCATTAAGAGAAGATGTCCCACTTCCTACCTTAAGGAGAGGAATACTCCTTTTTGCCTCACTCTTGTCGCAAGGATTTGTGAAAGAATCAGAAAAAATTGCCACCCCTAATCAAGATCCAATGAAACAACATAGATGTAAGATATCCTAATTGACTAGGAATATTGTTTACTAATTAATTGAGTAAATATATACCATGGGTATAACTCCCTATCTAACCACATTAATTATGATAAAGACTGAAAAAAAAAAAAAAAAGAAGGAACATACATACGCACATTGAAATGAGATTAACAATCTAAACTCTATTTGGAGCCTAATGTATCGAAAGTCAAATGGCTCAACTAGTCTACATCTAGACTAAGAGCATGTTAAGAGCATGTTTGATTGAAGAGAAATCGAAGAAAAAAAAAAAAGAAAAAGAAAAGAGAGATGATTTTTTTTACCAAGTAAATTATAACACTGCCTAATAGTATTACAATTTGATCTTTTTTAGCTGATGCAGCTGAGTTAACTGGCCTTAGACTACCTCAAGTTGTCATGATAAGCACTGAACCCTTTCCCACTGCCAGCCAGCAGGCTAACTATTGTATAGTCTTGTGAAGGTCCCTTTCTCCTTTAACATACACACCTTCGCCTCACAATCAGGCTTTCCATGATCTCGGCATCCGCGCACATGCCTCACCTCTTACGCACCATAAGTCTTAATTATTAAGTTGAATTATCATTTTTACTCGCTAGTTATAATTTGACGTGGTGATTTACTCTTAAATATGTATTTCTCTTCACTTGTGTTTAGGTAAAATTTAAAAAAGTTTATAAAAAAAAGAAACTTATCATTAATACATATTTTAATTTAATATATTGTATAATATATTTATTAAAAAATTATTATTTTTAATATAAATTAAAAATAAATAAATTTAAAAATATAATTATGTACATAAAATATAAAAATTAACTAAATTAATTATATTTATATTATATATTTAATAAATAAATAAAACTAGTGTCAAAAATCAAATGTGCATCAGTTATTTTTTAAAAAACAATTTAAAAAGTTATGAGATCTTGATTTATAAAGTAAGATTTTTTTTTATATATATGTCATATGACTTAAATTAATAGTAATTTATGTTTAAAAAAAAAAAGTACATGTTACATTTTTTTTAAAATTATTTTTTGGGGTGGTGTCGGCTGGGGCAATCACATTCTGAGATCACTATGTGCAGAAGGTAGAGAGGCAATATAATTGTTTTCTGTCAAGATGGAATGACAGATTACCAGAAACAGGAAAGGGCAATTACTACTGCAATAGCGTACTCTTTCTGGCAGGGAAAAAAAATTAGGGGATGGGTAGAGATATTAATGTGTGGACTAGGGAATTTTCAAAGATTTGAGATGGGAAAATCAGGGAGTTGTTGGAAAGACAATGGGGTATCACCAAACTGGTGTAAACTACCAGGAAAAGCACAATAATATACATGGTGCTTTTTGCATCAAATCATTTTGACCTTTTCTAGTAGATTTTAATTAACACTAGGTAGGAAGATGTTCAAAATAAATTGAGATGCTCCAAAAAGTCATTATGGCTGTCCAAGTACTCAATAAATGTTCTTGTAGGTTATGTACTACAAGGATGGGCTGAACGTAGAATTAATTAGGACACAGGTATGTTTTCAGGGGTAGTATTGCGACTATAAATGAAAATGTTAAGTTTATTAAAATTGGAAAATATTTATTTTTAGAGATATTAATTTTATTTAATTTGAATAATAAAAATAATTAATAATTATAATTATTAATTATTAATTATTAATTGATATAACAATTAATATTTATTATTAATTAACAAATTTTGAAACAAGTTAATAAATCAATATTTTTAAATATTATTTAAAAAACAAAAAAATTTATGATTTAATATTTTTTACAATAACAACGCCCTAATCATGGACTTAGGAAAAAATTAGTAGCAATGAGGAAAAAGGAAAAAGGGGGAAAATAAAAGTAAAGAGAATGATTGGATGAAGAAATCAACTTAGAATGAGCTAGGCATATGACCAAAGAAAGTTTAACTAAGTTGGCACCTGAAATAGTAATTTTAAATTCAAGATTAGGATTCTATATTCAAAATTTTACTATAATTCTTTTTAAATGATATGGGTATACTAGTCTTTAATTAACTAATCTCATAAATATATGTCTGTGAATATTCTCATCTATAGATACCAAACAAATCAGCTCCAATCATAGATGGAAATTTTTACCGTAACTATTGTACCAAAATAACGCAGAGCTTAATTGTGAAGGAAACTGCTGGTGGTGGTGGTATACATCCAAAATCACACAAAACTTGGGAAATAAGTTGATCACCAAAACCAACCCCTGGAATGCGCAATTGACTCAATCTTGACTTTGATTCCTGGTGGGCAAATCCTGGTCAAATTTGGCCAGAACCACCTTCATTCCAATCCTGTAAAATAGACTAGCACTAATTATAAGTAATTAATTAATTAAGAATAACCAGTCAAAATTAAGATAAATGTTCATTAATTTGCAACCTAATTGATTACAATTTAAAGCACCCTTTCTAAACTTCAAACCTCAAAGTTGTTAATATTGGCACCATATTCCCCAACAGAAATGGAAAATACTTCTTTCCCTCATAAATGCAAACCGGACGTTACAATTACACGATTCCTTCCTGCAGTCGTACCTGCCACTCTACAATAACTATTCATAATTGACTTTTTCTAAATGGATATATACAGTATTATGTCAATGCAAAATTTAAAGAAAAAATAAGATACTTTAATATTAAAATTTTTTTAAAAATTTAACCATATATAATCACATGACAGATTAAATAAAAAAAAGACCCATTTTATATTTTATATAGTTTGCTTTATTTTATGATTGTTGTAGGATGCCTCAATTTTTTGTCTTTTTATCATAAAATAAAGTTATACTTATATATTATAATTTTTTTTATCTTGTTGTTTGAATTCCATCAAAATTGTTAAAACAAATTTTTAATATAAAAAAACTCACTCCTTATTTAATAATTATAATTATATAATATAATTAAAACCATACCACACTTTTTAATATCTCATCGGAAAAGAAATATATAGTAATAAGTGTGTAATATTATACCCTGTATATACATACAAAGCTAAGCTAACCACGTTTATCGAGTGTGAAGAATGAATCAAAACCAAGATGTGAGATGATTGATATAAGAAAAGTCAAAACGATGGACGACCCGGATGAAAGTGACATCCTACATATGATGCTGAAGTCCACGGACCACAATGAAGATGAGAAGTATGAAATTCAAATAAAAGAAAAATGGAAATGAAAAAGAGGGGGTAGGGTAGGGTTAGTAGTAGTTGAAGTTGAATTAGAGGCAGAGGTGTAGGCACCCAATCATTTCACCGGCTGACCTTTGAACCGACAACCAGACCTCAGACTCACAACTTATTAACACACAAAACCCTGCCGGTTATTCTTCCTACAGCAACTCCGCCCCCCATCACACTCCACGTGTCAAACATCAGATGGGGTCCGACCCTTTGACTTGATGACCATGGTCAAAAACCCTAGCTTAGCCTTCATATACCGTATACTCCTACGGTCCTAGCCTACCAGTACCCCTCCTCCCCTTAAGATGATAATCTTCAATTCTCATTTTGCTTGCTTTTTATTTTGACCTTTATTAATACCCATCCATCTCGCCTCCTCCCCGTCTTTTTTTTCTTTTCATATTCTTCTGTGTCTTTCTCTGCCTTGTCCCCTTTTAAACTTTACCTTTTCTCTCTTCTACAAAATAATCAACCCCTTTTTTCTGATCCTTCTTCCTCCTCATCTTCTGCAACTTTCATGGCGCTTCTTCCCACCACTTCTTCCAGCCTGGAGTTGACAATATCGGTTCCGGGTTTCTCTTCTTCCCCTGCTTATCATGCTTCTGGTGAGTGCCAAACCTATCTCTTTTTCTTTTTTCTCTTTCTTCAAATCTTCAAAAAGACAAAGTGTTTACTATTACAAAAATTTAAACATCTGATTTTTGATATCAGTATCATACCCATCTCTCTCTCTCTCTCTCTTTTTCTTTTTTTTTTTTGTTTTTTTGTTTGTTTTTCAGTTTCTTTCTCTCTCTTATATGATCTTCATATCATATGATTTTATGTACGGATTTCTTGCATGTTTCGCATATATTTCCCTTGTTTCCCCTTTTTTTTACTTTCCGATCATCGTCATATTTGGTGAGAATTTAATATTAATGGATTTGATTTCAATATCTTTTTCTTTCTTTCTTTCTTTCTTTATTTTCCTTTAATGGGATGAGCAGTGAGAGATTTGGACATAAACCAAATTCCATCTGGAGCAGAAGAGGAATGGATAACTGCAAGCATGGAAGATGAAGAAGAAAGCAGCAATGGAGGAGTTCCTCCTCGGAAGAAACTCCGCCTCACAAAGGAGCAATCTCGTCTCCTCGAAGAAAGTTTCAGACAGAATCACACCCTAAATCCAGTATGAACATATTCAAAACCTAGGCTACCTAGCTCATCACTTTTATCTTTCTTACTATGTTCATAGCAGTTAGGTGGTATCATAGATCAACTTGTGCTCATTAGTTCTCGACCTCTTTCTCTCTCCAAAAATTAAAATCCCTTGTCATTTAAAGCTCCTTGATTTATTTTTTTCTTTCTGTTGGTTTTACAGAGGCAGAAAGAAGCATTGGCTATGGAGTTGAAGCTGAGGCCAAGGCAGGTTGAAGTGTGGTTCCAAAATCGTAGGGCCAGGTACGTACTTTTTCTTGATCATTTTCTTTTATCTTATTTTCTTTCATTATTTATACTCTGATTTTCTCGGATTCTTCATAATTTTGTTTGGTGGATGGGATTAAAAGCAGCTGGGAAAAAGTTAAACATCAAAGTTTGACAGAATCTAAGTATATGTAATCCAAAATCTGAATCAAATTTTATACCGTCTCATTTCTAAAGGAGACAGCGATCCTCCTTTTTTTGTACATTTTTGTGTTTATTTTTTACTTGATTATAATGTCCCATAGGAAAAGATATAGTTTTCTTGTTTTCCAGATCTCTTCCACTCGTTTCAAGGCTGAAACCTAACCTAATAACTCCAACTTAACTCTCAGAGTTTTTACCATTTAGACACTGCCTGGGGTCATTTTTGTTTCAAAAAAAGTATCCATAATCAACCATAAAAACTGTGTTAAAGTTAATTAAAGGGTGTTTATTGAACAAAAGAAATTTGATGGGGTGTTTTGGTCATTTCACTTTGGAAAAACGTATGCGAAGAGAAAAGATGGTTTTAGTCAAATGCTATTACATTATACATGTATAACGGTTGCTTTTTGGACGTTAATATATCACAGTCAGGCGTCATATGTGCTTTTATTTTTAGGGAAAAAGTAAGTGAAAACAACATTACATTTGCACCTTGAGAACAAGGGAGTGAAGTTAGAAAAAAAAAAAGAAATCCCCTTTTTAGTGTAAAGAATTCCTATTGCGTTTTTTTATAGATTGCTTGACATAACAACATGATGGTAAGAATGAGACACTTGTACATTTGAATGTTTTCTTCATTTTTCTTGCTATTTAATTTAGGAATCGATAGTATTTTGAGACAACTTGTATATATCATATCAATCTTAAATATGTTTATTGTGTTACAAATTCAAATCTTATCTAATATGTTATAAAAAGAAAACCTATAAATATAAATTTCGTTGGCTCATCTTGTACCAAATCGAACATAATAATGCTTTGTCCATATTAAACAACAACATTACAATGATAGCAAAAGATATGGAATTACTATGTAAGATTTTTAAGATGTGTCAGATATGCCATGCTTATGCTTTCCTTTCTCTACAGCCTCGTGTGCTGTATGATATATCTCATTCTCATTAAGTGCTTCTTTTGACTCAATCATTCTTTTGGACTTGCCCATGCATTCGTGAATCATTACAGTACGTGTGTGTTGCTTTGTAAATGAAGAATGGGAGGTCGTAATATCTAAATTTTCAGGTTCAATTCTTTTCTCACGTATGTTTTTTGTATTGTATTTGATGGTCAATGGAGTTGTCGGGTTAGCATTGAAGAAGATAATAAATGCACATGCGTTTGTTTTTGAAAAACCCAAACAAGAATTATTGCTCACTGTCTAACAAAAATAGAAAAGAGGAGAGGATGACAAATATAATTCCAAAGGGCTTTTGCTTATTTAAGCACTTGTATGTATCTGATACTCAGTGCTATATCTGTTACCAAAAGTTAGGCACATCACGCCTCGAGAAGATAAATATGCATGTGCATTTTTTTGGTTCCTGTCTTCATCATCTATCATATCTCACCCATACGCATCAAAATACTCGAGCTTAAGTTTAATGCTCTCTGCCTTAAAATATCTACCGTTTTTATACTAAATTGAATAGAAGAATCTTGAAATTTTTAATTCTTAATGGATTGGATTTAGGAAATAGGAAAGTTTTATAACTTAATTTTGTTCATTGTTAGCTAACTTACTGCGTGGTATGCAACAGGAGCAAGTTGAAGCAGACAGAAATGGAATGTGAGTACTTGAAGAGGTGGTTTGGGTCACTAACTGAACAAAACCGGAGGCTTCAGAGGGAGGTGGAAGAGCTGCGGGCCATGAAAGTAGGACCGCCCACCGTGTTGTCTCCCCACAGCTGTGAACCCCTTCCGGCATCCACACTCACAATGTGCCCAAGGTGTGAACGCGTGACCACCACTGCCACCGACAAGGGCCCCACCCAAATCACGGCCGCCATCAGCACCACCGCTGCCACCGCTTTGTCATCTAAAGTGGGGACACCGGCCCTCCAATCGAGGTCCTCTTCGGCTGCTTGTTAGTAGTAGGGGCAAGATTTAAGGGCTCACTTTTCCTTTTTTATGATGATTTAACGACTCACCCAAAAGGAAGGTTTTTTCAGAAATGTTGATAGTAGTAGTTAATTAACAGAAGGTGTACGGAACAGATATTGCATGCTTATTGGGTATCTAGTCTGCATAGGGATTTTACTTTGGTGTTTCTTAATTCATTCATTACGTATTAAGTTTTCTTGTGAGTATTAATTAATCAATTAATTAATTAATTATCCTCATTAAGTTGAAGCATGCTAACGGAAAGGATTAATTAAATATGATTAATGATGAATATTTAATGTAAAACCACTGTCGGCTTATGATAACGTTTGTATATTACTCCATGTTTAAGGCTTAATCTTAGGGTCTTCTACAATAATTTGGTATTGTCCTGGAGGAGGAGCTCTAGAAATCATTTTCAAATAATTTTGCTAAAATAAACTTAAATTATGTTAATGGGTTTGGACTAATTTGATGCATTGCTTTTGTGGTGGATTATATAGGTTTTTTTTTTTTTTTTTCAACGGATTATATTGGGCATGCTTCAAAAAACAAAAATCAAAGTGGTGCGGTGATTGAGAATGGCAGCATCACAGTTCAGAGACGTCCTGAACTTGATCCCAAATTAAGAATTAAGATTTTTAACAGAGGCAGCAGCAAAAATCAATGAAGTTGACAATAAGAATGAAGACGGCGAAATAACAGAGGAGGATATCTTGCTAAGAAGGGAAGGTTTTAGTGAATTATGGGAAGCATGGCAAAGAAGAGAAGTGGCATGGAAACAGAAGACAAAGCTCGATTGGGTAAAGCAAGGAGATGTTAACTCCAAGCTATTCCATAGAATAATGAACAGCAACAGGAGGAGAAAATTGATTCGGGGCATAAACAAAGATGGAGCTTGGATAGAGGAACCGAGTGTGGTGAAGCAGGAAGTGCGTGAATACTTCAACAAAATCTTCAAAGAAGAGTAGTGGGATAGACTGAAAATGGGTCGGCTACAATTCAAGCAGCTAAATGAAGAAGACAACGGTTGGCTAGAAAGAGAAGTGTCAGCGGAAGAAGTGAAACAAGCAGTGTGGGATTGCGGAGGAGACAAATCTCCTGGCCCTGATGGATTCAGTTTCCATATTATCAAATCCATTTGGAATGTGATCGAGAAAGACATTGTCGATTTTGTCCAAGAATTCTCTAGGAATGGCAAACTAGTAAGGGGGCTAAACTCTTCATTTATTGTTCTTATCCCAAAAAAAAGATAATCCTATTGATTTAAAAGACTACAAACCCATAAGCCTAATTGGTAGTCTTTATAAAATCATTTCGAAGGTGCTGGCAAATAGGATTAAGAAAGTACTACCCAAGGTGATAAGTGGGACACAATCAGCCTTTTTGGGAGGAAGGCAGATCACAGATGGTATTCTGATTCTTAATGAAGTGGTAGAGGAAATCAGGAGGAAAAATATCAGTAGCTTCATATTCAAAGCAGATTTCGAAAAGGCATACGACAGCGTGAATTGGGCTTTTCTGGATGAAATGATGAGAAGGCTCAGTTTTGGGGAGAAATGGAGATTGTGGATTAAGGAATGTCTGCAAACAGCCTCAGTATCAGTGCTCGTTAATGGAAGCCCAACGGAAGAATTTAAAATGGAGAAGGGGTTAAGACAAGGTGACCCGATTGCTTCGTTCCTTTTTCTTATTGTGGCTGAAGGGCTGAATGTGTTAATCGAATCAGCTATCAACAAAGAATTATTCCAAGGAATTCCTGTAGGCTCCGGTGATCTTAACATCTCACATCTCCAATTCGCTAATGATACTGCTGTAATGGGGAAGGCAGAACTGGGCAATATTAAAGCAGTGAAAGGGATTTTGAGATGGTTTGAATTGATCTCAAGCTTGAAGATTAATTTCAACAAAAGTGTCTTGTACTCATACCATGTCTCGAATGAATGGAGGAGAATGGCAGCAGCTAATCTTAACTGCAAATCTGGAGTGTTCCCCTTCACTTACCTCGGGATGCCAATAGGTGACAGTATGTGTAGAAGAAAGCGTTGGATTCCAGTTATTGACAACTTTAATAAAAAGCTGGTAGTCTGGAAAGCGAAAAGCCTGTTGATTGGTGGCCGAGTTACATTGCTAAGGTCTGTTCTCTCTGCCCTCCCAATTTATTTTATGTCCATTTTTAAAATTCCTAAAATTGTGCTTAATGAACTTGTGTGCTTACAAAGAAAATTCTTGTGGGGTTATACGGAGGAGAAGAATAAAATAGCATGGTTAAGTTGGGAGAAAGTTTGCAAGGGTAGAAATGAGGGAGGAGTCGGTGTGTCGGAATTGGAATGTAGGAACATAGCTCTTCTAGGGAAGTGGTGGGATAGATTTGGGAAGGAAGATCATAGTTTATGGAAGAGAGTTATTGTAGATAAATTTTATGGAGGAAGTACGGTGTGGGATATTAAAGAAGTCCAAACTAGGAATGCATCCACAATTTGGAGAAATATAGTGGCATTAGGAAATGAAAAGGGTAGAGGTGCATGGATGTATAGAGAAGGTTTCCATTGGAAGTTGGGGATGGGTGATAAAATCAACTT